AGCAGAAAACCCCTTTCTGTAACCCTTCCTCACTCCCACAGCTACCCACATGCCCTGAGAGGGAACAGAAGGGGCTGTGGCAGATGCATCAGCAGAGCAGGGGAAGTGGTTTTGCTCCCCAAGTGCAGACAGCAGGAGTGGGGGTATGTAGATTTGGACTATGAGGGGGAGGGGGGGCCTTTGCAATGTGGAAACTTCATGATAAAACAAACAAGTGATCACCTTTGCATGGCTCCCAGCCCAGCTACTGTGACTCCAGGGTTGATCAGGTTCTATGCTGCTGGATTCACCTGGGAGCTGATCCCAACCTCTGCTTGAGGAGGAACCTTAGATCTTCCCCATAAAGAACCCAGCCTACTACTGCTCTTTCTCTCCTAAGCATTTTCCATGAAACTTCCTGTCTCCTACTTGAATCTGCTCATGCAAATGAGCCCTGCTGTAGGACCATCACTAAAGCCAGCAGGGATGAGATGCTTCAGATGGCCTTTATCTTTAGACTTTTTTAAACTAGCCTGACCTTTATGGCAGGGAAGCACACACCTATGCCTCTAGGTGTAACCCCTTCCCCCGTCACTCCTCACCCTTTGCTGCTTGTTCCCTATATCCACTTTGCAGCTAGCACCACCTCTCCTGACATGCTCATCACTGCTTCACACTGCACACATCTTGGAACAGCTGGAAAGTACCCTCTGAAAACAGGAAAACCAGGGTCAATGACTGACATTTTTATAGACGCTTGACCTCAGTTGAATTGCACAAGGCAGAAAATATTTAAATGTTTAAAATCCTTGTGAAAATGCTGTCTTAGTTTCTGTTTCTAGTCCCTCTTTCACCTTGCCTTGGCCTGAGCCCCTGGTTATGATGCAGGCAAAGCATTTCCCTAAACCCCTCCATTAATTCTATAACCAGCAGAAGTAGAGGAGAGATGATCACAGTCCATACTGCAGGCAGCTGCTGGGCTCCTGCCAGATCTTAGAAGTTGGATAACACTAGGTCTGGACAACTTTAAGTGGTGCTAGTGACTCAGTGTGGGGTTTCCTTCCTTCTGAGTCTGTAATGCCTTGCCATGGTACTGGTGAGTTGTGTTGCTGAAGATATTTTTGGATGCAATTTAAAACAGGGCTTTTGGCCACTTACGATTGCTAAAAATCCCCTAGCGTTTTTTGAAGGAGCAGAGGTTTTATTTCTGGTGTCCTGCTTACATTTCAGGTTGAGCATTTGTGTCCTACTTCCTCAAATTCCCCTTGAACTTTCAGCTCTTTCCTGTATAAACCCTTGTAGGTAAAAACCATTCTCCAGCATATGCAGGAAAAACCGGAGAGCAATGTCATGTGTTCCTACAATAGTTAATTTTCAGGCCTTGCTGTTGATGGAAAACAGGAAAAAACAGGCTTCAACAGCATGACTTGCATTGTGTGTTTAAGAGTCGGTACAAATCAACCATTTCATTATTTCCTTCCAAGGAAAAGGTCTTCAGGTTTGTGTGGCACCAGTATCAAAGCACACTGAGGAGCTGCTAGCACATTTTAAGTTGGATTTTGTGGAAGTTAAAGTTGCTTTTCTTGACATGACTGTTGGATACCCCTATATTTAATATACACAGAGAATTCCCTCCATAGGCATCACTCAGAAAGGGCAGTTCCAGCAGATGGGTGAGGGTAATGTTTTCCAAGCATTTATTTCCTTTTTAAGTTCCAAGATACCTTGATCAGGGCTTTGAATGGAATAGAGAAATACTAAAGCAAAAAGTGTAAAGGCAGGCAAAGCTGTTTTATATAGCAGGACCTTCTTAATCTCCTTTTCTTGTTTTTGCCGAGGGAGGTAGCTGCTGCTAATAACATCAGAGGCACACCTAACCCCTTTTTGGTGTCATCATTACATAGGCAGGTCTGCAAGGGAGTCTGGTTGAGGGCTTTATACAGCAGCTTGCATGGGCTCTGAAAGTAGTGGATTATTTTGAGAGGGTAAGGCAGCAGGCTGCTTTCTCTAGCTAAGTCATTGAAATGGTCTGTCTCCATTCTGGTAGGTGTGCTGTGTTTTTTAACTTCCTCTTTCAAACTGTATAGTGCTTTTGCTCTATTAAGCATTTTCTTTCCTTCACTGTCCCCCATTTCTCTGCTCCTGGAGGTAGCTGCCCTTCCATGTTGTACACCTGTGCTGTAGAAATTGGTTGACTTGCTGATAGTTTTGAATTTGCTTTGCTATCTCCTGTTTCCTGGAAATAAATGTTCCAAATATGCTGCTTTGCCCATTGCACTTGGGGCTGAATATTCAAGCTACTGGGTGTTCACCTTCACGATCACTCTTCTCTTAGGGGCTAAGATTCAAAGGCTAATTCAGTTTGGACAGACTCCTTAATGGGTTGGATCTAGTCCTAAACTAGCTTCTGTTTCTCCCACTCCTCAAATACTTTCCCCAGCAGATTGTGCCCTCCTGGGAGCTCTGTGGAAGGCTACAGAGCTAAGATTAAAAGGGGATATTTATCCCCTCTGCAGTCCTGCTGCCTACTAAAAACTCTGCACCTGATCAGAGAGGTGACTAGCTATGTTAACCATCTCTGTACTTGATGTTGCTAAAGTATAGCCCAAGCCTTCCTGTATGGCAGATAAACAACCATTAACCCCTGTGTTACAGACAGGGAAAATAGCTGTCAGTAATCCTGATTTGGGCAGGACCGCAAGGTTTTTCAGTAACAAATTCTCAGTAGCCTTTTATCTTCAAGCTACCTTAGCTCTTAAGTGTAGTTCTGGGGTTGCACCACTAGGAGATGATCTGAGTGCTTTTTATTCCTCACCTGATTCTCTGTCTCTGCTGCTCTGACTGCAAGCTCACAGGTGACCTGGAGCAGTTGCCTCTTGCTGCTCGGTGCAGCATCAGCAGTTGGGCTCTTTTGGGGTGGGGATGCTGTGGGATCCTAGGGTAGAAAAAAAAAAGATGGGTAGAATAGAGGTGCTAACAGGGAACCTCCCAAATCTGCTCAATATCCAGAAAAAACATGGGTGGTGTCTTGCAGTCTCTGCAGAGAGATGAGACTGACTTTCCCTCCCTGTCATGGAAACCAGGAGTACTGGGGAGACTGCCTCTATAGCCCTCTCTGCTGTATCATTCCCCTTAAGATGCTACAGAGTGGGACCCACCTGCTGTTCTCATCTAAAGATGCTTGACCAGGGGGTGATGGGTCTTTGGGCTGCTGCTTTCCACCAAAAGGGAGGATGGTATTGGGCTGTGGTGCTGCTACAGCTTCCCACGGCATCTAAATTCCTAGCTGGTGACTTGAACCACAAACTTGCTTCTGTCCCTGATCATTATCATTACTCATATTAAAAAAGCATGGCAGTACATCAGACTCTGTCTACAACCCTCTGAGCCTCTGCCTTCACAAAAAGGACTCCTGGAAATAAAAGTATCGGTAACTAGGGTCTCCAGGGCTCTCAGCTATTTCCATTAGATGGCAGAGGATGGAGCAGCAGCACCAGGTAGGAAAGTGGGGAAGTGACCCCAGCCTTGTCCTTGTGAAAAGATCTGTGTCTGGCCAGCATCTCTTCCGCAGAAGTCTCTGCTGCTTTCCTCAAATCAGAATCGGTTCCATCTTCCCCCACCCCAGACAAAATTTTTCATAGGAACTGCTTTATTTTTTTTAAATCAACTTTCTTGTCCAAAAGGCAAGAAACACTCCAGAGACTTCAGAGAAAGTGACCCCGGCCTTACTCTTCCTGTTTGTTTCACATCAACATAGATCCTCTGTTCTTGCTAGGCAGAGAGGAGAGAACACAACGGCTCTGTACACAGATGTCCCATAGATTTATGGTCCTCCTTAGGGACAGGAACTCTTCTTGGAGGCGTTTCTTCTCTATCCCCTGCTGCACAGCAAAGCAATGCTAATTTGCCCCTTAACCCTGGAGCCCAGGGCAGTGGCCACTGAGCCTCTGGCTCTTCTCTTCATCTGCTTTTACCCCAGGCTCAGGATGCTTTTCAGCACACAGGAGGGGCTCTGCAGGCCTGGATAGTGTGGCAGCTGAGATGGTAATGGAGAGCTCTGCTGCACATAAGCTCATGCTAGGACATGCCTCCCACTGTTCAGATAATGTTGTATTTTTAATCTGACATTTAAACAAACTGCCAAAGCCCATTCTGGTCACTAGGGACCTCTTTTTTTTTTTTGTTCTTGCTGCAGGTTTCATCTTTCAAAGTGTAGCTGGTTTCAAGTGATGCTAAAAAAGAAATAAGCAACGGCAACAGCTTTTTGTTAGTTGATAGTTGTGCAAAAGAGGCTGCTTTTTTTTTTCACCCTGGCATAACACAGATGTGACTGATTCTGGCTCAAAGTTTCCAAAGATCCTAACTACCAAGTACGGAACGTTTCAGGCTAAAAGATGAATGCTTTGGAAACTTATGACCTCATGCAGACAGGGGGCTATCATGCAAGCTATGTTGCCCCCTTAACTATTGCAGGTGTGATTTGTGAGGTGCTTTGGGTCCCTTTGAGATGAATGGGGCTAAAGAAATCAAGCATTTACTACCTAGGCAACTGGTTCTGCAGAAATGTGGTAACTTGAGCCTATGGGGAGAGCACTACCGGTTTATGCAAAGCAATGACAAACATGGGTGAAATTCTCTGCCAGAGGCTAGAAGTGACTTGGGATTCATGCAGAAAAGCCCCTCCTGCTTCTAGCAGAAACTTCCCTGAAAGATGAGACTATTGCAGAAGACATTGGCCTGAGTAACCACATCCTCCTTTCCAAGGGCCAGACACTGCTCCCTGGGGGAGGCTACAGATTAACCCACATGCAGCTTAGAAATTCCAGGAAAACGTGTGTCCTCTTTGTCCTTCAAGTCTCTGATTTGTAGGAAGCGGCTCAGGTGACTGGTTTAGCAGCTGCAGAGATGGGAGGGGTGGTGGCTTTGTGTTTATGATTCTACAGTCTTGCCAGTGGCAGGAAACAATCAAAGA